CCCCCCTGATGAACAGGGGATATTAGTAGTACTCTTATTGGATTCGAACCTCAAACGCCTGTGTCACTAGTAAGTCGGTTCAACTGACAATGTCACTGTGGTCGGTCCTGAATCTTCCGGGCCACAACTTGTCACTTAAAGTAACCAGGCTCTCCTTCCTTTTGTTCTTGTCAAAGAGGCCATCTCGGGGTTCAGAGTAAGATACCTTGGATTTAACAGATACTAGAGAAAAAACTTCACAATAAAAAAAAAAGACACGAGTACAAATTACACTTTTTATCAAAGGTACCGGGTATTACAATAAAAGAAAAAGGTATGAAATATTGTTGTAAAAAGTATAATTTATAAATTCACCAAATGTCGAACATGTCAATGACATCAAATTAAACGGAAGAAAATTATAGCCATACGCTTATCTCACGGCAAGCAACCTGTGAAAAGCGTCATCAAAGTGCGTGGCATACACGTACCCCGAGCTGTGACCCAATAGCGGGTCAGAAAACAAAAGACTACTTGCAAAACACACAACTCGATATTTTCTTCAGAGTGGAACTAATAAGTGTTTATCTGACATATTGTTTGTTCACTGTTTTAGGGTAAAACGAAAATTCAAGACGAAAAAAAAAATTCATTCTGTTTGGATAAAAGATAAACATTGGCTAAAAGGAAGAAGACAACGGTGAAAAAACGCATTTTTCTGAAAGATATTTTTTTAAAAAGGAAATAAAAAGTATCGGTGGCGTTCTTATGTGATTTGGCAAGTTATAAATTTGTACAATGCTTAACTAAACTAAACAAAAGCGGTATTTTTTTGTTGGGGGGGTGGGGGAAGGGAAAATTGTTTTATCTTGTTTGTTTTGTTTGTTCTGTTTGTTAATTTATTTGTTAGGTGGGGGAGGGGGTTGTAGGTAGAGAAGTAATACTCCCTGGGTGTTCCCGATGAGAACGAGATAGACGAGCTAAATGTCCATAGAAATAACCTGCCTCATGACTGTCGTTTAGCACCGACCAACAAATAAATGAGTCAACAAACCACCACAAACAAAGCTAAAAAAGAAAGAAAGAAAGAAATCGTATCGACAGAGGAATAAAAAAAAAAGACACACGAAATAAGTGCATTTGTTTTCATTTCTTTAATTTTTTGTTTTTCTGTTGTGTTTTGTTTTTGTTTTTGTTTTTGTTTTCAATTATTTAGTTTTGGTTAGTTTTCTTTTCTTTTTTTGTGCTCAAATATTTTTTTTAAAAGCCAGGGGGGGGGGGTATTACTGCTGCCTTTTTAAACTTATTTTTTGTCCTATCCAATTGAAACCATTCAAATACAAAGTAATAACGACAACCAACCTAGGTAAACCATAACAAAAATTATAATTATAGAGGTCAGTTCCTTTGATCATAAACAGTAAACATTTCTGTTCCATTTTTAAAAAAAAAATTTTTGGGGGGGGTCGCTTTTTAAGACTATTTCCCCAAATAAATCAGTACAGCCGTGAAAGAACATGTATATATTGGTCAACAGATTCCAGTACAGGGTGCAACAATAAAATTCGTTTTCGTTCGTATTTGTTTTCGTTTAGAATAGGTTTTATTTATCTATTTAATTCATTAATTGTATTTATTTCAATGACTTTT